CCCTCAATCCCCTCCTCTCCCAGTGACCTGGATGCATCCCAATTTGCTGTTTGCAATGATCTGGCCTGGAGCAGCTTGGGAAAAAAAATCAATCTGCTAAATGCTGTGTAAAGTAATGACACTGAGAGAAAACTTGAAAGTCTAAAAGGATATTCTGGAAGCTCGCCATGAGTAATTGCCATGTTGGGACTGGCAACTAAAACAGCATTGCAGAGATATTTACCCAATTTTCATAAAAACTATTATGGCTTTATTTTCAAAGCAAGTAACGACAGAGCCATGTGGCTTGTCTGTAAATGTTCGAGTGATTAACTGAGAAATGTGGAGGTGGGTGGAAGAAGGCTGTTAGGCATATGAATTTGAGAAAAACAAAATTTAGAAAAGGATGTTTCTTGAATTGTGAAAGCTAAAAGCATTTTGGTCTCCCAAATGATGTCCCATATAATAGTGCTAAGTCCTAGACCCCAGGAGAGAAAGGAGGGAACATTGGCAGATCTATTTCAATGGTTATTTTTGAACATGCTCAGAGTTAGCAAATTCACGTTTCCTTCGAGTTAAAATCCTGGCAAAGACCAAGAGCCAGCTGCAAAGTCCAACTGCACTTTTCACAATGAGCCCTGTTGCAGGGGTGGGAAGCCCTCCTGCCTTTCTCGCTTCAGGCCTGCCCAGCCCTCTATCCCTGGTGGGAATCACATGAGCCCAGACGGCCTGCAGGGCTCAAGGACAGGTTTGGGAATGGAGCTGCCAGAGCCTCTGTGGGAGTCAGGGAGGGAATGGGTTGGGTTACCCAGGGCAAAGTTGGGACATTTCCTATCCCACTGTCATTCACAGCCTTGCCTGGGAAACTCACTGCTAAACTCATAATCTAGGGTGAAAAGGGTGAATAATAAAGCTGGGCCACAGAACCTGACAACCCCAACAAACCCTTCTGTACTATACTGCCAATGGCTGTCTTCTGGACCCATGCCAGAATTCTTGATAAGTCCACGCCTATTAACCCCACCATGGTGGGGGGGTACTGCTGCCACATGGTGCCACCACCATGGCTGCCACTCACTACACAACCACCATCTCAACCACCATCGCCACTGCCACCACCACACAGCTAGAAAGTGGCAGAGCTGGATTGCAAGACAGTCTGGCTAGCTCCAGAGCCTGTGTTCTTACCTACTCTGCTTTATCGTGTATCCAGAGTCAAAAACCTGGCTTTCCTTCCACAAACACTGGAATAGGGAATGTCACAGGAATACACTTTGCTACCTGCCATTTTCAGTAAATACAGGCACTCAGATCTCTTTACAAATACAAATGCAAAAGGACATGCCTTCCCCTCAACCAGGTCCCAGTGCCTGTGTCCACTTTTTTGAAGGGTCCAGTGCTCAATTCTCTATAAAGACATCCAACTCAACCCACATGCCAGCAGGCCAGATAGCGGGAGAAAAGGCCATTGATACAAATAGAACAAGTAGTTTTCCAGGGAAAAGCCACTTGACTCCTGAAGGCTTTTTTTTTTTTTTCTTTTTTTTTTTGCTGATGCTTGTTCTGGATCTGTGGGGAAATGTGTAACTAAATGACATCCTGGAAGGATGAAGCAAACATGACTACACCTAGGGTTGGTAATTTAAGATGGGGTACTGCTTTCCTACAGACAGCATTTCATTTAGATTTTTAAAAATATGCTTTAAACTCTTAGTCTAAATTACTTTCTCTAAAAAAGTGACAGTGTTTTCAAGATATGGATAGTAACATTCCATTCCGATCCCCATGACTTGATAATTTCTACCATGTGAAAGACATTCCCAGATGATTTGGAATCAGTATAAAATTAACACATTAATGATAACTCATGCTTTAACTTTAGTAGCATTTTAATGAATCAATAAATATTTATTGTTTGAAAATACAAGATTAGGGAATTACTTCTTTTATTGAAAACCACTTAAAAGATAGTCCCTCTTCTTGAAAATTTGAGCTGTTACAACTATAAGATTAAAAAATTTTGTAATATCAAATTTCAGTGCTAAGTTTTCCATAAAGTTAAAATGCTACAAAAATCTAATTATCATAAAAGTAATGATGAAGGAATATGTCAATGAAAGTAGAATGAATAGAATCCTATCAGGCCTGAGTAAAAAAAGCAATAGCTATCGTCACATAAAACATGACCACAAAATATTCACTAAATGTCAGAATAGTCACTTGGATATTTTTCAGGTTGTAAGAGGTGGAGACCCAATTCACTTTTATAATAAAATTATTTTGTAAAAGAACTATACGTATTTTCTAGAGAATGCTTCATTAGAAATAAAATGAACTTCTGGGGCATGAGTTATATCCCTGTAATTCTGCAGCAAAAGACACTTCCCTCCAAACAGGATGCACCAAGTGTTTAATACATTAATTATCATCCTTCATCAAGCAGAAAACTAACAGTCAGGAAATACAGCTGCAATGGCACAATTACCAACACACTCAGAAAACACCCTGCAGCAAAGAAAACAAATGCAGTGCTTTTCATTAACAGAGCTCTGCAAAGCTCTCCAAAGACAACGTTTTCTTTCCAGCCAGAGTCCCAAAAGGCATTTAAGGGGCTATTTGCTGGGGTAAATCCAGAGAACAGATAAATTGTTAAACTATTTATTTAAATTTCAAAATACCCATTATCAATATACAGTGTCATTCAGATAAAAATTGTATATACTGAAAGATGGCTTGATTAAATCAAAATCTTTTAAATACAAGGCATGTATGTTTTAAAAAATATTAGTGCAAGAGATTGGTAAGTCAGGTAATATCCTCATTCTTGACAGTGACACATAAGGTGTTAATGGTGTCCATTTCCATGTTTTGTGGCATACAATACGAAACACAGTGTGCCTCTATCTATGCAATGATGAGCTGTGTAATAACAGGACTCTATTATATAGGTTTGAGTCCATATAAAGAACATCATTAGCTACTAGTTTGAGATTCTAATACAACACGTCATTGTTGAAAGCCTAGATGAATGGCATTCCAGAGAGGTAATAAAGCATAGTTTATTTGGTTGATTTCTGGACACTTAACATTCTTAATATTACTATAATCATATTATACCTTAACAGATGTATAACTCCTACTGAGTTCATATTATAATTAAACCATAAACTGTTACTTAAACCCAAATTTCAAGAAGGCTCTGGGGATATAAAAGGCAATGGATAGTCATCTGCCCCAACTATTTGTAATTATGTCCTGAACCATGGCCATCAAGCTTTTACTAAATTTTCTGCCCAAAAATCCTCTAATATAATCAGCTTGATCCTCTCGGCAGGATAAATAGCATGGTAAAAATTAAGGAGCTATATTTTCCTCAGCACAGGAGGCCAGGGATATGCATGAGGATTCCTCTATGCTTGTGGCACAACTTCAATTTCATATTGTACTTAACATGCAATTAACTCAAACCTGAACTTCTTTTAAATTGTATTTGGGGTAGGCATCATTTCACCTTCCACCTGGCCAATGTGTGTTACACATATAAGTGTCTTTCAAAAGACAACCTTTGAAATTGTATTTACTATTTAAAAAAATCTGATGCACATTCATGCCCTAAAACCTAAAACTCTCTGCCTTATCAAAGAATAACCCACAGGATCCTGCTCAGGCCTGTTTAAGAAATGTGAATAGTGTGAATCGTAATAATGTTAATCAGTTTGCCTGGGTCGGGATAGCTGCTTCCTCGGGTGCTGAAAGCAGCAGTAAATCCCAGGGAAGGAATGCAGTCCTTACCAACAACGCTAACGCCACCGACATGATGAGGAAGGCTGCGGGTCACTGTGCACAGATCATTTGGTTGGACAAAAGAGGATACATAAGAAATAAAAGGTCCCTCCCCTCAAGGGTTTATAGTCCAGTTGACAAGGCAAAAAAAAGGCACCTTCTGAATCTGTTTACCAAGCAGCAGGTCAGCGAGCACCCAAGAATGAGTAAGTGACCAGCTGACAGAGGGATTATGAAGAACCAACTCCACGGCCAGGTGTCCCGCCTGGAGTCAGGTCAGGGGCATCACAAGGTGAATGGACTATCTTGGGTTCCAACTGGGACCTTCATTTAAAAGGTCAGGGTCTTAAAGGGTTTCTGTTTTAGTACTTCTGTAGATGCAGTGACATTATAAACACCTCAAAATTAAAGAGGTGTTCTAAAGCAAAAAAACAAAAACACTTTGTAATGTTTTGTTGAGCAAGGTGATAAGACACTGAAAAATTAGAAGGAAGGTAATTTCAAGGTGAACTTTAGTTCTTTCCTGGTCTTTTCTTTTCAAAGATATGACTACAAAAATATGGCAAGAAAGCACCCAGTGTTCTCTCACCATCCTTAAAATCCTTTTGGAACGCAAAGCACTTCCTTATTTTGACATGCATTCACCCTCAGCAACCAGGAGAGAGCAAATGATTCCACATTCAGTTGCAATACTGAGAATCAGACATTTTGCATGTATCCCTTTTGAGTTGAGAAATCAGAGTTGAATGCTGCTTTTTCAATTAGAAAATTGTATAGTCTTATGGAAAAATCCAATTATATATTGGATGGTACTCAGAATAAAACGATATTTGTCAGAAGGGAGAAAAGAAAAATATCTTCTCAAATGAGCATATTCGAATTTATATTCGAATTTAATAATTAAAAATAACAGAGTGTACTAGACTTGTACAATCTTGTCTTCAGCAATGTCAAACAAGGATTTTAAAGGAGCAGGACCAGTCATTAGGCTCGAGTCTGCCACAATTCACCTCCCAGTGACATGTCCCCCAAGGTTCAACCTGTGTTTTTGGATTGTTGTGGCTAATCGTCGTATTGAATACTGATGCGGTAAAAAAGACTCTACTGGGGGTATAGTTCTCTCCTTGACATTTGGAGTCTGTTGGAATAATGATGCTTGCTGCAATGGACAGTGTTTGTGATATAAACAAAACCTGACTTTTCATAAGATTTTCTAATGGCCTCTCGAGCTTTCATACCTTTAACATAGTGAATTCATATGGCTGATAACCTTTGAAGCTCTCATGGATGGCTGCCATAGTGTGAGAAGTTTTCTCCCAAAAATGAAGCAGAGTGGTCTGCAAAGAAAGACAGAAAAGCTATTAATGTTTTGAATGCCCAATTTTAGTCATGGGCCCCAGAGAAGTGTGCCCATCTGCGGCTTTCAAGGTTCTCCAAAATATGATTCCAACTTATTTCTGCAGCCTTGTTTCCAATTACGCCCTATTGACACCCTGTATTTCAGCCAAACTAAAAGCCTCCTGGTTCCCCTAAACACGGCCTCCCGTGCCTTATGCTGCTCCACCACCTGGGACATTCTCCTCTCCATTCTCTTTGTACTTGTTCCATCTGACCCATCCTCCCAAACCCAGGGCTAATCATTAACAATCTACTTTTGTGATCCCTCAACTGATTCAATTTCTCCGTCTTCAAACCCTCATTGAATTTTGTAGAACCTTTTTCACTTAGCACACCCTATTCTGTCCTTGAGCTATAGAAAATATAGTCAGACTTTACTGTCTCTGACTTCCTTCCTAAGTTTTAAGTTCCTTGAAGACAGGGAATCTGGTCGTATTAATTCTTATATTCTCTACCACACTCAGAGTTTGGTCTCCCACCCGCAGTTGGTGTTCAGTAGTACCGTTGATGGATACAGTGCTATCCTGAAGGGACGCAGAGGCTATGAGGAGACAAAAACAAGCTTGTTAAATTAGGACAATCTGATGAGTGAGTAACACTGTGCCAGGAGAAGTACAGGCAACAGTGCTAAGTGAGTTCAGAGGAGGCTCTCTGAAGGATGTGATTCATTCTGGTACATCAAACGGTGGAATTTGGAAAGGCTCAAATGGAGGGGAAAGGCACTCCAGGAGGCAGAAGGAACCACCAAAGCAACTGCAGGGAAGTGGGATATTATAGTAGAAGTATAGGGCATAGCTAATATTTGGTTTGATTAAACTGTAGGCCACTAGAAGGAAGAGATGTGGGAAGTAAATTATGAGAAAGGCATTCAGAACTTCATAAATAATGCCCAAACCATACTTTTAGCTCAAACACCGTTTTTCTGTTATCTAAACATCCTAACATTCTTGGTTCCTTGTCACAAACACCCCTTTGTTACCTGGTATGTTGCTAGCATATGAGACAAGAGATTGCATCTGCTTGCTCCAAGAAGATCCACTTTCTGACACACATCCATCTTCAATTTGTCAAAGCTTTTTTTGGCGAGGCGTACTTGTGTTTGTACCTATGAAAGTAAAAGGGAATCTCTGAACCACTCAAACTCTTAAGTAGTTAAAATGTGCCGTTGAGAAAAGATCAATAGGTGGGCTTGTCACTTTCATACAAAAAAACACCTCTGAGAACTCCAGGCAAGTGAGAAGATCCTCCACCATCCATTGTTCACCTCTAAAGGACCTAAACGACAGTACTGCATACCATGATTTTACAGCAGACTTACCACTCTAATTATATTTTTCTCCGTCGAATGTTAAAATTCCTCTCTTCCCACTGACCACAGCGGGGAGAAGTCTGGAAACATGCAGGGTGGCAAGGGACTGACTTTGTCCTATTGTTTTCCTATAGTATTTTGAAGCTGACTATCCATATACTCTTTATTCCACTTCCCCTAATCTTAACACCTTACATAACATGGTACATCTATTAAAACTAAGAAATTAACACTGATACAATTCTATTCACTAAACAACAGACATTATTTGGATTTCACCAGCTTTCCCACTAATGTTCTTTTTTCTGTTCCAAGATCCAATCTAGGGTACCACATAAGGGAATTGTGACACAGCCTAAAAAACTATCCCCGCTAACAAACTTGCAACTTTTTATTATTGAGTATGTACATAAGCAATCCTCCATCCATCCCTGAGCCATACAGTAATTCAAGGATGGAGTGAAGGTCAGGAAAAGATCCAGAAATGTCTAGTCGATGCATTATTTGATAATAAAGTAAAATTTAATACAGCTACATTAAAAATGGTGAAGTCAAAATTTCTCCTTCCTCCAATCTGAAGCATCACTACATCATATTTCAATCAGGGAAAACTAACCAAAGATTAATTTATCTCGGGTAATTCATGCAGTTGTAGTTACCAGGTAGCTAACTGCGAGTTGAGAGTAATGCTGACTCATTAATGATAGTTCTTTCATCACAGGATGCCGGGGAGCAAGGACGACGTCTACCTTGATCCCCATTATATGATCGGTACCTGGCGACCTGGTACAAAGCAAGTGCTGAATAAATATTTGGCGACTGAATGAAGAAATTTTCCAGGCCATTTCAAAAGGTAAAGTACCTGAGTACTATTTTAAAGTATAACCTTTAAAGTAGTTTTAGAAGTGATGATTTTATTTTGTAATAAAAATAAGCATGAAGATTAGTTGATATAAAATATATTAATTTTTACCACTAATATTAATTTATATTCAGTTTATAAAATTATAGGGCATTATATAATAATAGTAACAATTAATACAATTAATAGCATTTGCAATAGTTTAACAATTGAAACATTTTAACAATAGATACAATTCACAATAGATACAATAGATACAACTGAACAATTAATACAACTCACTCACCACATGCCAGCCTTATTCTCTCTTAGCCTCTGTTGTTACCCTCTCTAACTGCTGAGGGTAAGAGGCTTTGTCTGGGGAAGTAACTAATGGGTAGGGCTGGCATTCTAGATCAGCCTACCTGACTCCAAAGCCACGCTATTCTGCCTCCCTAGCAACTGACACTATTCACTAGAAAATCAAGAAGCTCAAAATTATGATTTACCCAGAAACACAAATTTTCCCTATAGATTCTATGGAATTGGAAAAGAACGAGGCAGTACACTTTAATACCATAGTGACAGAATTAATACCCTACATGAATAGGGTCTTGTGTTTACAGCTGTATAAAATATTTCCTAAGAAGTCCTCTGTATTCTTGGCCTACAGAGCTAGGAAAACCAGAGGATAGAAGCCATCCAGCTCCTCTCAAACTGACCAAACCATGAGCTTCAATAAATCCCGGAGCTCGATCATTCCCCACTGTGGAGTGGAGAGACTCTAGGCAAACCTACTTGGGAGCTCTGACTGCAAAGACAGTTTAACATGAGTTAAGTATCAGTGATTTTCTGTCTTCCTTTGAGAGGAATATGGAGACAGAAAAAAGAAAACCTGCGTTCCAGAGGGGAGAAGGGGGATACTGTGGAGGGAAAGATGTTTAAGCAGCTGAGATCCTCGCTGCAGCTCCCCCATTGCTTCCCCAGTTGCTCAGGCCAGGAAGACCTCCTCAACTGGGATCCTGAGAGGCCTCTGTCCTCACCGTTTTCTTCTGAAGGAGAAGGAGATTAATATGAGTGTGAGCTTCCATGTATGCATTCATTCAACACATACTTAGTGAGCGCCTATTATGTGTCAGGACCAGTGCTAGGCACTGGGGTGTCTGCAAAGGAATAAGACACATAGGAGGTGGTCAATAAATACTTATGAACGAATGCACATAGGCATAAGGACCATCCAATCCTTTAGAGAAGACAGACCAGTTAGCAACTATATTATAATACAATGGGGAAAGTACAACAGTAGAACAAAGAGTGAGGAACAGAGGTAGCACAGGCAAGGCAATGATTAATGCTGAGGTGGGGTGGGGCAGGGGTGTAGGTGGATGGCATTAAAGCACCAACTACTGGCCTCCCAGTATCCCCACCCTTTGCCTTGTAACTTTGTACTAGCCTCTTCCCACTCTGACTCTGGGCTTGGCCATGTGACTCGCGTTGGCCAAAGGGGATGTTAACAAATATGACGAAACTGGAAGCTTGAAAAAGAAATGCTAGTGTGCTTCCATTTCCTCTCTTGCTTCTCTGAGATGGCCATGAGAATATGCCCAGGCCAACCTGGGAATATGCCTGGGCTGGCCTGCTGGAGGGTGAGAGGCTTGTGCATGCAAGAGACATGAGGAGGAGAGCCCAGTTGTCCCAATAGACCAGCCTTTGGCCGGCTGACCCCTAGACACATGAGGAAAACCAGCCACGATCATCAGAGCCTCTCCCCACCCCATAGATTCATGCGTGAGCCCAGCAGAGACCAGAATTACTCTGCTATCCCACTGACTTATGAGCAAGAAGAAATGCTTCTTGTTTTAAGTCATTGAGTATTACAGTTGCTTATTTCACAGCATGACTGTGGCCATAGATAACTGATATACACAGTAAGGAGGTGGACGATAAAGGCTTCTGAGATAGGAGGATATCTGAAGTGGGTCTCAAAGTATGAATAGGAGTACATAGTAAATACAAGGTATCCACCAAACTGGCTTATGGGGAGTTCTAGATTTTCTTTTTTTTTTTTTTAAGATTTTATTTATTTAATTTTTTCCCCCCAAAGCGCCAGTAGATAGTTGTATGTCATAGCTGCACATCCTTCTAGTTGCTGTACGTGGGACTCGGCCTCAGGATGGACGGAGAAGTGGTGCCTTGATGCGCACCCGGGATCCGAACCCGGGCCACCAGCATTGCAGTGCGCGCACTTAACCACCAAGCCACAGGGCCGGCCCTAGATTTTCTAATTAAATGCAAATTAATTTTTTTGCTGGGATGTGAATTTTGCTTTTTTCTTTACATTAACATAATTAGTTACTCATGGATAGTCTTTTATCCTAGGAGAAAACTTATTTCACTTGCTTATAACACAAAGCTCAAGAATTAATATACTTTGAAATGTACCCTAATTTAATTTTGTTTGAATTTTGCAATGTAATTTTAGAAACCTAGAAGAAGACTTCAACAATTGACCCAGTGAGTTCTGAAAGGCCATATGTTTTGTGTGTCAACAATGATCATTAAAATACTTAATGCACTGCTGAGTTTCCAAATGTTGAGCCCTTTCCCTGCCAAACAGGGAGGATGTTACACTGTTGGGCATTTTGAATACGGTGATGTTCATTTAATATTTTGTGCTCCATGTCTGCTCTCTGAAGCACATTTCCAGCCTGCAGCCTGAGGACAAAACACCAAGAACACCATCAAGTGTAGGCCACCACAAGAGTCTAATTACACACACCTCCAGATGTACTTAGGTGAAAAATGTTTTGATTATCATTCCTTTCAATCCCAGATAAATTGTACTCAATTACGTAAACATCTTGAGGAGCTCCTGTGGTTTTCAAGGTTCTTTAAAAAAACTTCAGTCAAATAAATGTACCCTTTGTTTATTTCTTAATTTTGTTTCTGGTGCCCTACCTTTCTCCTCTTATTCTCCAAGCTCTAGAATCTGATCGTGCCTATCAGACCCTCGTTAGTGTGAGTCCTGCCTTCCCCAGGCTGCGGAAATTCAATTTACCAGAGAAAGGAGCGATGTCTTGACTGCCAAAACTACAGGGCACATCTCTCTACTTGTTCCTCTAACCTGAACTTCTACCTCTCAGCCCCAACTTGAACTACATATGGTGAAGCCAAAGCTGTTCACCTTCTTAGTTCAATCTGGCCTCCCCATCCAGTGGGAAAGGTCTTCCTATTATTCCACAACCAAATAATTTTACATATTTTTAAAAAAGTGTTTTCTTTCCTTTAAAAGCAAAATAAAGCAAAACTACAATCCTACTCTTACTTTTACATTTTCTTACAGGAAACGGCTCTGTCTCCCTCCTTCCCTCCACTCGTTCAGTAAATATTTACTGAGTATCTTCTACGTGCTGGTAGCAGTGAGTAAAAGGGAAGTGGTCTCTGCCCTCGTAGAGCTGACAGTCCTGTAGCCATTTTCACATCAGTGAGGGCATAGCTACAAACTATGTGAGGTGGTCAGAAGGAAACTCACATAGTCCCAAACCAAGGAATCTGACTGAGAGGATGTTCTCCAAGGAAGTGTTGCTCAAGCTCTATTCTGAAGGACTGAACATGATTAACTATGCAAGGAGAGAGAGTACTCCAGTAGCGAGAGGAGCATGTACAAAGGCCCTGGGGTGGAGGGCAATAAGGCAGGTCCTATAGGCCAGTGTAGCTGGGTTGCTGAGAGCGAGCAGAAGGGTTTTATGAGACAAGAGAGGTAGGCTGGGGCACATCCTGGAGCAGGGGACTTGTAGCCATGCTCAGGATTTTAATTTTTATGAAAAACATTGGAGCCCTTTAAGCTTGGAAGAGATAGGACCTTATTTTCAGTTTGGAACGATCACTCACTGTAGTGTGGGGATGGACTGGAGGAGAGAGATGAGAGTAGATGAGAATAGATCTAGAGTCAAGG